CCTCCCTCCCTCTCCCTCGCCCTCCCTCCCTCTCCCTCCCTCCCTCTCCCTCTCTCTCCCTCCCTCTCTCGCCCTCCCTCCTCTCTCTCTCTCTCCTGTGTCTGTCTCTGTTTTTCCTCCCCTCTATCTCATTCTCTTTTTTAAGAGGTTATTTATTCATTTGAAAGGCAGCGAGAGAGAGATTGATCTTTTGATTGCTGGTTCACTCCCTAAAAAGGCCACGCAGCTGGGACTGGGCCAGGCTGAAGCCAGGAACTCCGTCCGTGGGTGGCAGGGGCCCAAGCTCCTGGGTCATCGCCCACTGCCTTCACAGGTGCATTAGCAGGGAGCTGGATGGGAAGTGGAGCAGCCGGGACTCGAGCCAGTGCTGTGCCGACGCCGGCCCTGGTTATCTCGTTCTGGATATTGGCAGTGCAGGTGTTTTTACCCATCTCGGAGAAACAGACCAGGAGGAGTCGGCCAAAGTCACGTGACCGCCATCCACTCTGGTGCTGTGCCCTGAGCCCCAGCTGCCGGGGCGGACCCAGGCAAGGAGCTCCAGGTGGTCTGCTGGCTCCAGCGAGGGCCCAGGGTGGTGGTGAGATGGGGACGGCTGGAGTGGGGGGCCCTGGCTGCTAACTCAGCCCCAGGAAGGACCTCCCTCTTTCCCCTCCATTCCTGAAGGAGTGAGCCACCAGCTAGCCCACAGGGCTGGAAGACGCCAGAGGGGCGCGTCTGGGCGGTGGAAGCTGCCCACCCGGTACGGAGGCCCCTGTCTTCCTGAGCCCGGGGGTGGGGGCGGGGGTTTGGCTTCGTCCTGACTGGGCCTTGTCCTCCGAGGCCGGCAGGACTCCCGTGCTGGCCTCACTCAGGGCTCCAGGCTGGAGCCAAGTCAGCGTCCACCCGGGCTTGGCCCAGATGCTGGACCCTTCAGGCCCTGGGCTGAGGCCCATCCTGGTGGTACCCGGGGAGGGGCTGGTGACCGTGGCACGGGGGTGGCGGCCAGCACCCCTCCCAGGATGATGAAGCTGGGCACTGTGAGAAGCGAGTCTGACTCACCACCTCCCCTGCCTGGGGCCCTGGGGTGGGAGCAGAGGTGGCAGATGCGACCCGAGGACGGGGACGCAGCCCAGTGAGCCTGGGCTGCGGCACGAGGCCGAGCTCTGTGCGGGGAGTGTGGGCTTCCAGCCGCTCGTGTGTGTGGACCAGGGAGCCGGGCCCTCGGGGCTGGCCCTGCCCCAGCAGGCTACCCACTGCCCTAGTTTTCCTTGCGGGGTGTGAGTTGTGGGCCGCTGAACGGAGAACGCTGGTGGTGAGGGCAGCTTGGTGCTGGGCTGTGCTGGCAGCAGCCCCAGGAAAGGGTCCTGTTGACCAGAGCAGGGGGCAGCTCAGGTGGGGCCCAGAGGTGGACGGTGGTGGGCTCTGCAGCCATGTGACCCAGCACCACATGTGTTTGGGGCTGGTTTCCCGCTCATGGTGTCAGTGGCTCAGGCAGCTCGGGGGGCCTCTTCCCTGCTGGGGGTGGCCTCCAGCCAGCCCTGGTGTCGTGGTCAACTGCAAGCAATTGTATTAGCAAGGTCCTCAGAGTTGCTGTCCCTAAACACTGGCCCCTGTGGCCGGCCTGAATGTGACCCTGCCTGCCTGCTATGCGCATTCTGGCTGGCTGGGAGTGGGAGGTTCAGATGGCCACTGCCGAGGGGACCCCAGTGGTCACCTGCAGGGCCCACCCTGGGCGAGGGCATTAGAGGAGGGTTAACAGCACTGCCAGGGGTGACGTGGAGAGTGGTCCCACCAGGAGAGCACAGGGCGCCCCAGGTGGGAGTCGGGGGGAAGGCCACGCTCAGGTGGACCTATGGCCACGGGGCTGGGCAGCCGTCTTGGTTCCCTTCCAGTGTGGGTGATCCCATCGGGGGAGCACCCGGCCCAGGGCTGGAGTCTGTGCTGCTCCCCAGGGCAGAGCTCAGCTCCTGGGGCCACAGCCACACCCGAGACAGGCGCCAGCCCGGGGAGTGGACAGTGCCGCCCATGAAGGGCCGGAGGACACTGAGCGCACGTCTGAGGTCTGGACTCCTTCCCCGACGTCTCCGGGAGCCAGGGCGGAGACCCCAGTGCTGTCTCAGTCGGCCTGGGGGTCCGTGGGGTTCCCTGACCGCCCTGCTGAGTCAGCCAGCCCTGCTCCGACAAACATGCCTGGCTCGTGCGCTGACTCATTGTGATAAGTGAGGTTTACAGATGCTGGGGAAACTGAGGCACAGAGGTGCCCGGCTGGGGAGCAGCACAGCTGGCGTGAGCCCCGGGAGCGCCCCGCATGCCCCCGCAGGACCACGTCGCCTCAGAGTCTCGGGTCCACAGTGGGGCTCGCTCACGGCTGCTTGGCGAGGAAGGAGGCAGAGCCCCCAACCTGCTGCTGGGCAAGTTTGTCAGGCAGGGCCGTCGGCATCGCAGCCGCCGCCTCTATGAGGCAGAGCGGCCTGGCCGGCCAGCACACCTGGGGCCAGGGCTGGCCGGTGCCTCCCATCGGGCCTGGCTCCTGGCTGGCCCCAGGCGTGTCTCCGTCACCACCTCTCCCCTGGCTGTCTCCCTGAGCCGCCTCATCGCTGTCTGCTCCTGCAAAGCTGGGGGTTCGAGGAGTGCAGTGGTCGCCTCATTTCGCACCCGCTGCTGGGCAGCGTGAAGCAGATCCGCACAGGTGGCGCAAGTGCGGGCAGGTGGCTCCTCTGGGAACCAAGACGCTTGGGATGGTGTTGAGTCAGAAGCTGTGGGTGTCAGTGCTCCCCAGTGTGCACACAATGCGGCTATAAATAGCTTGCTGTGAGAACACAGCTCCAGGGTGCGCACCCAGCCCTTTGTGCCATAGCGTGGGGCTGACCATACCCGCCCCCGTGCCCCCTCACGCCCATGGCCCCGGCGGTGGCTCTGCTGACCCTCCCTCCTGTGGGTGCCCGCCCTCCTGCCCACATCGCGCCCTAGCTCTTGTGCTGAGCAGTGGGGAGCCTTGTTCCCGGTTTGCAGTCTAGCAGGTGGCCTCGCGGGAGGACCTCGGGCCGCGGGGGCTGCCCTTAGAAGTCAGTGTCCGGGGAGGGCTTCCGTGCCAGCCCCAGTGCCGCGCCACATGCTCTGCCTGCTTTCTGTCGCTGTGGGCTCCTTCAGCCGTTCCAGCCTCACCAGATGCCCAGGCAAGGGCCCTCAGGTGCTGGACTGGGACCCCTCAGAGCTGTGGGACGAAGTCCACCTCCTTACAAATGGCTCCCCTTGGGCTCTCAGCTGTGTGAGGCAGCTTCACCTCCTCCCCACCTGCAAATCTCCGCCTACCCACTGGGTCAGCACCTGGGACACTGTCCTGGCCTCTCCAGCACCCCTGCTCCAGGGGCCAGGGCTGGGCTCTCGCCCTAGGGGTGCTCCCGTCCTCAGTGGTCCTTGGCGCCTGGGGACCCCACGTGTGGTCTCCACCCACCAGCCAGTGCCCAGCCTGGAAACATCAAAGGCCGGCGAGGGGGGACGTGTGTGTGGCGTCCCCCCCCGACCCCGGGGCTGTCCTGGAGACGGTGTTCTCCCCTGGAACCTTGGGTGTCGGAAGCCGTGGGAGCAGCCCCTGCTCGCAGACTGGACACAAGGAGCGCTCGCCGGGGAGGAGGCCTGGAGGGAGAGGGGTATGAGGGAGGCTGGAAGGGCTGGGCCCCTGGCTCCCGGGAGAGGAAAGGGAGCCTCTTGCTCCGCCCGGGAAGCCATGAGTGCCTGGAACAAGTAAAACCTGAGCTGCTGACTCAGTGAGAGTCATGCATGTAACTCGAACTGACCCACGCGGGCACCGCAGCCACGGAGCCACCCTGTGTCGTCCCCACCAGCCTCCTGGCTGTCTTTGCAACCAACAGTCCCGCCCTTGCCCAGCCACCTGCTGGCTGTCACATCTGGAGCCCGTGGCAGCGGGAGTGGCGAGGTGAGGCCCACCTGCGACCCATGGGACGTAGGGAGTGTTTGAGGGCAGTGCCTGTGGCCGCTTCCTGGGGGTGTCCCTGCCTTGTCCCAAGCTCCGCAGCTGTGCTGTGTGACCCACTTTCCTGCCCCCGCAGCTGGCCTGACGTGTTCCCGACCTGGCGGGGCCTGCCTGCCCTCTCACCTCGCCTGTGGCCTCACTGCAGCTGCCTCGGGGCTCCGCCTCCGCCCCATGGCTCCACCCATGGTCCCTCCCTCGGCTTCTCCTGCGAGGAGCTGGAGACACCAGATCCACAGGTCCCAGTGGAGCCGCCGGGACTCGAGGCTCACCCAGGGCTGTGGCGCTCTGCTCCCCGGCAGTCACCCCGTGCGGCCTCCTGTGGGCACCATGAGGGCCTCTGTCCCGCTGGTGGTGGCCATGCTCTGCGGCCTGGCCTGGGCAGGTGAGTCGCTCCCTGTGGACACGGCACCGGGGCAAGGGTCTGCCCTGAGGAAGAGCTGGGGAGCTGGGCCGGGATGGAGGAGGGGGTCGGGCAGGTGGGGGCGCGGCCCCCACCTCACACCTTGGCCGGTCATCCCAAGTGTTTCTTCGAGACTTTCTTTTTTAAAGATTTATTTATGTGAAAGGCAGAGTTGAGAGGCAGAGAGAGAAAGATCCTCTATCTGCTGGTTCACTCCCAAAATGTCTGCAACAGCTGCGGCCAGGTTCACGCAAAGCCTGGAGCCAAGAACTTCATCCGGGTCTCCCGCGTGGGTGCAGGGACCCAAGCACTTCGGCCACCTCCCACTGCTTTCCCAGGCGCATTAGCAGGGAGCTGGATCAGAAGAGAAACAGCTGGGACTCGAACCGGCGCCCATATAGGCTGCCGGCGCCACAGACAGTGGTTTTGATCTCACCGAGGTTTGGTTTTCTGCGGTTGCTGCATGAAAGGAGCTGGGTTCCGGTGGCCTGGCTGTGGGTCACTCTGCCCAGGGGTGGAGGTGGTCCAGGATGTGACCCTCCCCTGGGAAAGGCCTTAGCAGGCAGGCAGGCACAGGAGACGAAAGGCCCGACTAGGAGGGGCCCTGTCCCATCTGGGGCAGGGTGTCTGTCCCCGTACCTGGGCTGAGGGGTAGAGGATGGCGTGGTGGGCAGTTTCTAGTGATGAGGGGGCGGGGCAGCCCAGTGACAGTGGCGGTGGCCGGTTGGGAGCAGGCAGCACCCAGGCTGGGAGCTGGGCTGAGGGGTCCAGGCAGATCCCTCCTCTGCCCACCCCGAGCTGACCCTCTGTGGGGCCCCGGAGGCACGCGCACCACTGGAACTTGACCTTGAGCTATGAGGCCTGCAGACTCCATCCTTCCCAGTCACGCTGTGGGATGTGATCCCCAAGTGGAAAATCTTTATAAGGGGTGCTGAGGCCCCTATCAAGACACAGCTCTGGCAAGAGCAGGGTGAGCTCGGGGGGTGGCACCGAACTCTGCTCAGGGGGCACTGAGACCTGTGTCCCTGGGGATGTCCCTGAGAGCCAGGGAGCGGGGGAGTTGCTGTGGGATTAGGGGAAGTGAGAGCCGACTGGGTGGGGTCTCCGATGCGGCAGAGGCTCTGTTCTGTATGCTCTGCCAGCCAGCGCCCCAGAGCTGAGCTACAGGACTGAGTCCTGTGGGGTCCCGGCCAGTCTCTGGTCTGTGCCTCTGAGCTGGACGTGCTGGGGACCTCGTTCCAGGGTCGAGGGTCAGGAGGTGGGGCAAGGCGCAGCTCCTTGGTGACTAGGTCTCCATGGAGACCGCATCGCTTGAGAGAGCACCGGGATGCTGAGTCCACCCAGCCTGAGACCTGGATCTGTAGACAGCCAGTGTGGACCCGAGAAGAGGCTCTGGCACCAGGTGGACAAAGACGACTGTGGGGGAGGAAGTCAGAGAGGGGCCGGGGGCAGGCGAGCCGTGGTTCCTGGGGCACCATGGGGGGCGGGGCACAGCCCCTGTGTTCGTGGGAGGCACAGGGTGGGGAACCTGAGTGGGGACCCCAGAATGCACAGCCAGGCGCCTGCCTCCCAGGAGACGTCCCTCCCAGCCTGCCCTGCACCCTCCCATCCCTTGGCCACCTTGAAGCAGACAAGTCTGCCGGGGAGCGTTGAGACCCCTGGCCTGGGCTCCTCCTGGGGCTTCGGTGCTTGAACTGAGGTGAAAAATCCACTCAGCCTCGGCCAGCGGGCTCTGAGCGCCACGGCCGCCCACGGCGGTGCCAGCTGCTGGAGGGAAGCAAGTGCTTTCCTTGGCCTCCGCTCTCCTGGCCCTTTAAAACACTGTCCTCTTTGCCCGGACTTTCTGCCGCTGGTCCCGGGTGTCCTGCCAGGCCGGCCGAGCAGGCAGCTGACCGGCCCCCTGCAGGACTCTGCCATTCAGGCTCCCAGGAGCTCGACTTAAGATGCCAGAAAGGCTCTTCTGGGCTCGCAGGGACAAGTGGGGCCAGTCCATGTGACCGTGCCCTGGCCACCGAGGAGGCTGTGCCCGCAGCGAGGAGGCACCTCGGGACTGGGCGGGCTGGCCCAGCACCTCTCCTACTGGGACCACACGGGCCAGCAGCCCGGGGCAGGGTGGTGCTGCCGTCTGAACCCTCACCTCCGTGTGGTCCTCACACAGACCCACGCGGCTGACACTGAGCGGCCCTTGACAAACACTGGCTCATTTAGCTCCCATCAATATTCTGCGAGATAGGCTGCCTTAATCTCCCACCTGTCCAGATAAGGGAACGAGGCCCCGCAGGTGAAGCCACCTGGGCGAGAACCTGACGCTGGGAAGCTGCAGGACCAGAATCCCGGCCACAGCGGCTCCTCCCCTCCCCGCGGTGCCTGCCCCGTACACTGTGGGGAAGCCCTAACCCCAGTCGGGTCTCCCCAGATCCGCATTTGCATTGAGGGCCAGCTTTGAGGTGCCTGGGTGGAATCAGCAGCTCCCAGGCTGCTTTGAGCCAACCTGGCATTATTCCTCCTCTCCTGGCCCTGACACTTCCTCCAGCTTGGGTGTTGCCTTCAGTCCAACCCCAGCCCTCCCCAGACTTCTTTTGGCAGATGTAATGTGTTCGAATCCTGTGCTCTCAATCCCAGCCCAAGCACACCCAGCCCTGGTCCAAATCAGCCTTTGGTTGCTGGTGCTGTCAGTTGACTCTGACACTGACCTTGTCACAGCCTCGGACCCCTGCCTGGGAAGAGAGCGCTCAGAGCCCAGCGCGCGGTGCCAGCCTGGCTGCCCCTGCCTTTGCCGGGGAGGGCATCGTGGGGCTTGCGGAGGGCCTATGACCTTTGTGGCACTGCTCCCCGATCCTTGGCACCCCGATCCTTGGCGCCCTCAGGATGACGACTGCTCCTGCCCGCCCTTCGGTCGGGTAGCCGGTCCTGCTCCCACGTCAGCTCCCACCTGCGCACAGGGAGACCGGGTGTGGAGGACAAGTCCCCAGAGAGCACCGGTGAGGGGGGCTGATGCAGCCAGGGGCAGGAGCAGCAGCAGCAGCGCCCTCTGCAGGCAGCCACCGACCTCCCCTTTCTTCAGCCTGCTCACGTTCTAAAGACCTGGACATTCTCACGCAAAAAACGCAGGTTTCTCTTGCCAGTGCCCCAAGGAAACCGGGCTGGCGCCAGGGACTCAGGTACTTGGGAGAAGCTGCTGGTTTGACACAGGGCTTTGCCAGGCCTCCTCCTGCACGCAGCTTCCACCCGGCCCGTCAGACCGCCAGGCTGGCATCTCGCCTCTTCACTTCTGAGTTTCAAATCTGTGGCTCAAAACCTCTTTTCCGTAGAAAACAATGGCCCAACCAGAGGCTGGGACCTCAGCCGGCCGGCTCATGTGAGCCTGTGTGACACCAGTGGGGTCTGAACAACAGAGCCCTGGGGAAGCCTGGACTAGAGGAAGGGGGGCCGGTGTCTGCTGGGGGCAGCCGTTCTGGGGCAGCAACCCAGAGATTTGGAATCGGTTGTCACCGGCTGTTTCCATGGTGACTGGGGGTGACTCCCCCGTGTGAGTCCTCAGGAGCCTCCTGTCCTCTTCCTCCCTCACGCCGCTCTCTGCCCCCTGCTGCGTCACTCAGCACTCAGCTTGCAGGGCCGGGGGATGCCCTCCCCACTGGCCATCATGTGGCTGTGTCCCCCAGCAGTCCCTGGGCCACAGCTCTTCTCCCTGAGAATTCGCCCCCACCTGAGGGCTCACTCCCAAGGCAGAGCACACCACCGGGTGGTTTCTCTGGGGAAGTGACTCCACCAGCAGCCTCCGCCCTCCATCTGCTCCCGGTGGGTCCTTGCTCCCAAGGCACATGTCCCCGCTGAGGCCCTCGGGACGGTTGTGGTTTTGTTTCTCGTCGGCAGGTGGAGAGTCCACCGACGAGTTGGAGCCATTTCTGGGACTGGAGGAGGAGCCGGGTGTGGACAGCAGTGAGCCTGCTCCCTTGCAGGGGAACCGGGATCAGAGCGGGTGGCCTGAGCCAGCCAGGGGCCCAGGGGTCAGGAGGTGGCGTGGGCATCGGGAAGGCTGTCCCGGGAAGCAGGGGGCTGGTGGGGAGGGGCAGGGCCTCGGCGCACGGCGCACGGTGCACGCTCTCCCCGCAGGCCTGTACTCCGCACCTGGCTCCTGCCAGGGCCGCTGTCGCGAAGCCTTTGACAGACACCAGCCCTGCCACTGCGACGCCCGCTGCCGGGGCTTTGGGAACTGCTGTGAGGATTTCCACAGCCTGTGCGACCACCACGGTCAGTCTGCCCCCGGCACGGCCCGAGCCCGAGGCGTTCGGGAGGGCAGCAGCTCCCAGGGAGTGGCCCGGGAGCTGAGGCCTGCAGACCACAGCCGCAGCCCTGGGGTTGGGAGGCTGGGCGTGGCGTGCCGTGGGCCTCCTGGGGCCTCTGACCCTGTCCCCCGGCACCCCCAGAGGGCTTCTCCCGCAGCAGCAACGCCATTACCGGAGAGGAGCTCCGGCACATCTCGGAGCGGATCTACAGGGCAGACACCAACAAGGCCGGGAAGGAAGACGTCGTGCTCAACAGCCAGAACTGCATCTCCCCGTCGGAGACTGGGGACCGAGTGGACCGCTGCCCCGAGCCGTGAGCGCCCCCCGTCACTGCCCCAGCGGCTGGCGGGCCCGGGGAGGGAGTGACACGGGAAGGCGTCTGTGGAGGGTCGGCCGGGCCGGGGAGGGGGGCTGAGCTTCCACGGTGCGGAGCAAAGACAACAGCCCCACGGGCAGCAGAGCTCCCAGCGCCCCCAGCGGCCCCCCTGGAGGGTCTGCGCCCCTTCCGGCCTCACTGGGTCGTCCCACCTGCCCCAGGCTCTTCAGCTATGTCAACGAGAAGCTCTTCTCCAAACCCACATATGCGGCCTTCATCCGGCTCCTCAACAACTACCAGCCGGCCACAGGCCACCCGGAGCACGTGGGCGCCCAGCAGGTGGCCGAGCAGCAAGCCTTTCTGAGCGAGGTCATGAAGACGGCCGTCATGAGGGAGCTCTCCAGCTTCCTCCTCCAGCAGAGTGAGCGCGCGTGGGGTCGCAGGGCAGGCACAGCTGGGGGGGATCACTCATCTTCTGTGGCTCCGCCCGGCCTCAGGCTGGGGGTCCCCAGCAGGTCCCTGAGCCTCCCCCACCCCAGGGCACCGCACCAGGCAGGTGGAGCCCCCTCCCCTCTGTTCCTGACTCCTGAGCCGGGTCCAGGGATGGGTTGGGTGCTGGAGAAAATGCAACAGACAACCCAGGGAGGCTGGCATTGGTGTTGGGGCCTGCAGAGTCCCAGGGCTCTCTGTCCAGGTCTCCCAGGGTCTCCACTACCCAGAGCCGCCACAGTCCAGCTGAGGCGCCTCGTGGGGTAATGGCAGCGCTCTGCTTTAGGGAGAGCCAGGGCCACGCTCGGGATCTCCTGGGCACAGGGCAGTCCTGGGCTGCCCCCTGGTGTTCGCCTGGTGGCAAGCGCAGGAGAGAGGTGGCAGAGCTGTGGGAGCCAGGCTGTCTCCTCATCTCCCCTGTCACTCTGGGCAAGCGTTCTGGCTCTGCACACAGATGACACGGTGGACCCAGACACCGAGTCTCATCTCTGCTTGGCTGAGGGCTTCCCCACCCCCTCAGAGCCCCTCTGCTCTGGTGCTGCAGGTGTGAGGTCCCCAGTGCCCTCCCTCCTGTCCATGCGCCCCTCTGCACCTGCAGTCCCCTGCACAGGAGGGTTCCCCCAGCCCCCTGCCACCTTCCTGGAGAAGCCTTTGTGAGCCTCCTCTAAAGCACCCCGTCTGGTGGGCTCTGTGCTGCTGGGGCAGCTCCGCGGGCCTCGCGGGCTGCACCTGGCGAGGGCTTCTTGCTGGGGCATCCCACGGCGGGATGGTGGGGAACAGAGAGAGTGCAAGAGAGTCAGAGACAGAGATGGATGGCGGGGAACAGAGAGAGTGAGAGAGTCAGAGACAGAGAGACAGAGGCCCAGGGAGAAAGAGGGACAGACATAGCAGGAGAAATAAAGGCAGAGACACAGAGGGGGAGCGAGGGAGAGAGGGAGAGGCAGAAGGGGCCAGACTGGCCCTGTGGAAGGGTTCCACCTCTCTGGTGATGGCAGCAGCCCCCAGGTGAGGCCCTCGTGGCCTGGTCACTGCCCAGCCGTCTGCTCTCAACACTGCCATGCGGGGAGTACGGCTGCTGGGGAGCTGCCCGGCGCACAGCATCCCCACCTCCATCACCTGCCCCGTCCTCCCGCTGCCCTGCCATGTCCTCCCGGCTGCCCTCAGGCTGTCTGCCCGCTGCCTGCTTGTTCCTCAGCCTTTAGCTTGGGCCTGCACAGTAGGACCACTGACTGCCGCTGAAGGGCCAGCAGGACGTGTGTGGGCCTGAACCTGGTGCCTCTTGGCCAGGGCAGGTAGCTCTTTCCTGCCACCCAGACCCGGCCCCCATGTGCCCCCACAGACCGCTACGGCTCAGAGCAGGAGTTCGTGGAGGACTTGCAGAACATGTGGTTCGGGCTCTACTCACGTGGTGGCGAGGAGAGGGACTCCAGTGGCTTTGAACACGTCTTCTCAGGTGGGCGCTCGCTCACTGGCCGCAGGGACACGTCCACTCCCAGGTCAGGAGGGCGGGTCTGAGAGGCCACTGTGTGGGTCAGTCTCCCCCAGAGGATCTCAGGGTTCATCCGGGATGGCCACCTTTCCCTCACTGCCCCACCCGCCGGGAGGAGGTTCCCCAGTGGCCACCAGGGCAGCCCAGGATTGGACCCTCCCAAGGGCCGGAGCTGAAATGGAGGGGGGTGTGTGAGAGTGCTCACGGGCTGGGCAGAGGGACGTTCTGGACTCAGGAGATGGCAGAAGGGAGGCAGCTGCGGCGGGGGTGGTGGGGAGGGGCCTGGGGAGGGGCAGGGTCACCCTCCTTGGTCTCTCTTACAGGGGAGGTCAAGAAAGGCAAGGTCACGGGCTTCCACAACTGGATCCGCTTCTACCTGCAGGAGAAGGAGGGCCTGGTTGACTATTACAGCTACGTGTACGATGGGCCTGTGAGTGCCCGGGTCCCGCCCTCGCTCTGCCTTCCGCCAGACGGCCCCCTCCCTGACCTGCAGAGAGCAGGTGCCAGGCCAGGATGCTGGCTTCCCTCCAAATGCAGGCCACAGCGGGGGTGGGAGGCACAGCCAAGGGAGCCTCCTCAAGGGGGAGATGCAAAGACCCCCGCCCCTGACGGACCCTCAGTGGACCCTGTCTGAGTGCTGCTGGCTGGCACCTGCCCGGCTCCCCAGCCGTCTCCGGACGCCCTGGTGCCCTCTCTCCACAGTGGGATTCGTACCCTGACGTGTTGGCCATGCAGTTCAGCTGGGACGGCTTCTACAAGGAGGTGGGCTCGGCCTTCATCGGCAGCAGCCCCGAGTTTGAGTTTGCCCTCTACTCGCTGTGTTTCATCGCCAGGCCCGGCAGAGTGTAAGTGCCGCAGAGGGGGGAGCCCCGGGCTGGGGACAGGGCACGCGCTGGCCTCGGCTGCATGCTGAAGTCAGCTGTTGGGGTCGAGCCGGCAGCTTTAGAAGGGAAACCTTTTTGGAAGGCAGAATGATAGACACAAACAGAGACAGAGACCTTTACCCGCTGGTTCCCTCCCCAGATGCCTACAACATCCAGGGCTGGGCCAGGCTGCAGCCAGGAGCCCAAGTCCTTGTTCCCCGCTCCACTGCCTCCCAGGCACGGGAGCAGGGAGCTCAATCAGAAGCAGAGTGGCTGGGATTTGACCCAGGTGCTCTGATACAGCGTAGGGGTACAAGATCCCCCCGAAGTGGAACGCACCTGGGACGTGGGATATGAATGGAGCGGCCTGGGTTGTCTGCTGGGTCCCAGGGCTGTGTCGGGAACCCTCAGAGACCCAGGGGAACCCCAGGCCTCGGATGCCTGACCACTGAGAGACTCCGGGTCCTGCTCCCCCATAGCCCCGAACAAGCGTCTCACTGCTGCGGATTTCAGCTCTTGGCTTGGGGCTTCAGGGGCCTTAGACTGCTCCTCTGGCTGAGAAGGGAGTGATGTCCTTTAAGCAAACAGATTCTGGAAGGGCCCCTGTGCAAGGGGCTGGCAGCTGTGCTGCTGCAGTGACTCGGGCCCTGGGGACGCGTCTGCCAGCCGGGACCCAGGCAGAGCAAGGCCGTTCCTGTGACTTTGTGACCTCCCCCACAGGTGCCAGCTCAGTCTGGGTGGACACCCCCTGGCCATCCAGACCTACACCTGGGACAAGACCACGTACGGCCACGGCAGGAAGTACATCGCCACGGCCTACATCGTGTCTTCCACTCGGTAGCACTCCTGCCGCGCTGGGCTGGAGGGAGGGTGGGGGAGCGTGCCGGCCTGAGGCGCCCTGGACTGCAGAGGGGAGCCATTCGGACTCCAAAACCGTGATAGACACCCGTGACCCAGGAGTGCCACGTCGGGAGAGGGACGGGACGCCCCTGTGGAGATCAAGGGCCAGTCGCGAGCCTCGGCGGTGTCTGGAGCGTGGTGGCGCCGCGAGCCAGGGCTTCAGCCTCACCCACCTGGGGCTTCCCTTCACTGTGCAGGGCGGGCCCTGTCCCCTTCCAGCCCTGGTGACGCTGCGGCTCTCCCCTGCAAACGGGGCCTCGGAAGCCCGCAGCGGGCCTGGGTCTTCTCTAGGGTCAGGCATCTCCCGGCAGGGCCCACACTGAGGGTCATGCTTCGTGTGGGAAGTGGACTGTGTGGGGGGTGGCCTGTTCCAGGCCCTCCCAGTGCCCACCCAGAAGCTTCTACCTGTGAGTGTTCAGTGCGGCTGCCGCCTGACGTTCTTGCTCCCAAGTCGGGTCCCCCCACCACGTCAGTGTCACTGACGTCATCATTTCCAGGCAGTCGGAGCAGCTCTAGAGTGGGAGACCAGGGAGGCTGGGGCGGGGCTGTGTCTCAGCCCCATTTCCTCCCAGCTCCAAGGGGAACAGGGGTTGTCCCACAGAGCCAAGTGGGAACGACAGGTTTCAGGGTTTGAGTCACCAAGGAAGGTCATTCAGGGAAACGTGATCTCTCCCTCCCTCCCTCTCTCTGTCTCTCTGTCTCTCTGTCTCTCTCTCTCTCTCTCTGCCCCCACCCAGGAGCATGGCTGGGGCTAGTGCTTTGGCCCCAAAGTCGTCTCTCTCTGGACCAGGGTTGGGGTGGGGGCGGCTTGCTCATGTTGTACCTGCAAAGCCAAGAGCAGGAGGGGTGCAGTACGTGTGGCATGACAGTGGCAGGTGGCCCCCGGCCCCATGACCAGTGCCGGAGGGCGCGCTCCTGGGCAGCAGAAAGTGTGCAAGCTGGGAAGGCCATGCTCACGAGGCCCTTCAAGAATGCCCACCTGCAAACAGGTGGCTCAGGAAGACCAGGCCCAAGTCAGGCTCCTCCCCTGGGGCATTCACAGGCCCACAGCGGGGCAGGGACCCCTCTGCCCCACCTCTGGCAGAGCTCAGCGCTCCGTGGGCAGTCCCCAAAGTCAGGTGTCCAGGGACCTATCCGGGATCTGTCACTTGCTGCTGTATGGACATGTCTCTTGATTATTCAGGTCCATTTGCTCTCTGGTAAAGTGCGATGCTATTACGACCCTTGTAAGTCCAGGAATGTGAAATGACACACCGGCCATTCTTCTCATCCGTCTCATTCATTCTTGTCCGTCTCACTCACCATATGGATTTCATTCTGCACCAGGAGATGCTCGCTGCCTCTGGGCCCCCAGCCTCAGCCTCCACCTGCTGGGGCCTCGGGGGTCTCCGGTAGACAGGAGGGAGGCAGAGGCGGGTGTGGGACAGACTGAGCCCCAGAGTCTGGGCAGACACAGTGGAGCCCCCACAGCGTCCCGAGCTGTGCTCAGCAGTCCTCTGGCTCAGGTGTGCTCCCTTGGTAAGGGTCTGGATTGTTGCCATTTTAAACTTGCCGAGATGACTGAGCCACGTTCTCAGTGAGGAGCAGGGTCAGGTTCCCCCGGCCCCATGCCTTTACCCCTGCCGGGGTCAGCCTGGATTTCTGCCAGTGTCCACTCCTTTGTCTTTTGGGGAGCAGCGACAGAGGCCGCTGCTGCCCCTCCGTGTCTGCTCTCCTCTCTGTGACGGGGCCCGTGCTGTGGCCCCACGCGGGGTCTCCGTGACGGGGCCCGTGCTGTGGCCCCACGCGGGGTCTCCGTGGGCTCCCTTTCTTCAGGTTCACGGGAACTCTCAACCTCTGGCTACTTGAAAGGTTTCCATAATTGCCTTGGATACCAGACTAACAGCACACACAGTCATGAACTGCAGACTCTAACTGTTGCAGAAATAACTCCTCACACAGATGCCTCCTGTCCCTGGAGCTCTAACTCATAAGTCCTGTTGGCTCTTGGAGAGCAGCTGTTCAGGTATTCGCCAGCTCAGTTGGGATGACTGGGGCTCATTCTCGGTAGAGACAAATGAACCAGTGAGAGCGGTAGAGTCAGCCACGCTGTCGAAGTCCACTTAGGACAGTGGTCAGCAGGCGCTGAGAGGGTCTAGAAGCACTCAGGAGGCCCCGTGGGTCCCAGGGAGCCTCAGAATTAGTCCTGGTGATCAAGACCATTACGTTAATGCTTCTTTATTTTTAAGAAAGATTTATCTATTTATTTGAAAAGCAGAGTTAGAGAGAGAGAGACCTTCCATCCACTGGTTCTCTCCCCAAACGGCCACAATGCAAGAGGCTGGGCCAGGCCATGCTGGTCTCCCACGCCTGTGTGCTAGGGGCCCCACCACTTGGGCCACGTTCTGCGGCCTTCCCAGGATCACAGGTGGAGCAGCTGGGACTTGAACCGGCGGCTACATGGGATGCCGGCTTGCGGGGTGGCTCTGCCTGCTGCTCCACAGCGCCGGCCTGATGACTGGGGGGAGAGGGTGCCCCCAGCCAGCCGGCGCCCTGGCTCCCGCCTCAATCAGTACAACACGTGGTGCTGCCTCTCCTGATGGCATCAACCAGCACGCTTAGCAATGCTTTATTAAGAGGCAAAGAAAGCGTAGGCGTTTGGATGGTGCACTGCGAGCTGACAACCGGGACCAGACGCACGGAGCGGCGGGGGCGGACCCAGGCCCGGGCCGCGTTCCAGGCCCGGAGGACCCGCGGCCCAGACCGCCGGGCTGTGCTGTTCGTCACACGCTCTCCGCCATCTGGGGTCGGCCTGCGGAGGTCACGGCCTGGGGACCGTACACGCGCGCGGGGACGGCCTCTCCCGCGGGCCCCGTGGGGCGCATCCCAGGGGGTCCCACGAAGCACATATGCCCCTGCGTCAGAGGTCGGAGCACGCCCGGGCGGCCTGCAACGCTCCGGCTCGGCTCGCGAGAGTCAGTCTCCGCTAGCAGAACCTAGATTGACATTTACTTCGGAGCTGCCAATCACCCACCGCTGTCAATCACCCGATGGCCCCTCCCAAGTCTCCCCGCGGACGGACCTTCTGCGCAGGCGCCATGGGACGGGCACGCGCGGGCTTGTGGGAAAACCCAGGGGGTGGGGCTGGTCTGCGTCGCGGCGCGTGTGACGAGAGCGTGTGCGACGCGGACGGCTGCGACGCGATCTTGAGTGCGACGGGAGCGGGTGAGGTGAGGGCGGCTGTTGAGCGGGTGGGTGTGACGCGGACCGGTTGGGTGAGCCGCCTTCGCCGTCTACAGCGGGCAAGGGGACGGTTGGGGGCCCAACGGGAGGAGGGGCCGGGTCGCCGAAGGGTCGCCCTGGCCAGGTGGGGTGAGCCTCCTTCGCCGTCCTCGCGGGCAAGGGGACGGCTGGGGGCCCAACGGGAGGAGGGGCCGGGTCGCCGAAGGGTCGCCCGCCGCCCCGCCCTCTGACCCGCTGCCGCCGGGGCGCCGGCGATGTCTGCGGCCGCGTCTTTCTCCCGAGGGGACCAGGGCGCTTCTGACGTGCCGAGGCCGCCCGGTGTGGAAGCGACCCCCGGCCGGCACAGGCTCGGTGGGGCTGCGGGGCGCTGGGCGCAGAAAGGTGCCGGCCCCTCGGCATCTCGAGGCGCGCCGCGCTGTTGTGCGCGCTCTTGGCCCCGGGCCAAGCGTTTTGCTGGCTGTTTCCGCACCAGGCGCCGTTTGTGATCCCCCCTGGGCTTGGGTTGGTCGTGAGGCTGGGTGCCTGTGACCGCCCGAGCCAGGCCCTTCCCTCTTCTGCGCCCCTCCCTCAGCCTTGGGTCCCCTTTCCCGTTTGGGGTCCTTGCGCCATCACCCCCTTTGCTCGTGTATTTTTCTTTGTTCCTCGCAGCCCCAGACGATTCTCCATTGAGAACCAGTCCTCACGTTGTTGAAGGCAGATGGACCCCCGTCCCCCACATAATCTGTCTACCTAACTCATTTCCTTTCCGCCCTTTTTGGCCCCATAACCCGCCCAGTAGTCTTCATGTGACCAAGTACTCAGGGAACGCGCATGGCGTGTCCCCACTCTCTGGGTTCTCCCCAGCTCTCGCCTTCCCCACGTTCTGGAAACACCAGGGGCTGGTGTCCGCAGCCTGCGTGCCTCCCGTCACTGGAGTTAGACCTGTCCGGGTCCGTGGTCCTCGCTCCCACCTCTGTGCTGGTAACAGATCGGCCGTACCTCCCTACTGGTGTCCCCTGATGTCCCACGGCGCTCACGGGACCCCCAGTTGTAACGCCCGTTAGGGTTTCTGCACCAGGCAGTGGGCTGCAGGGGGGATGAGGGAGAAAGCTCAAGGGATGGGCGCGGGACACATCTAGAGGTGTCCAGCTCTTCCCCTGTGTGTGTCGGTGCCGCCAGTCATACCAGGCTCCCGAGAGAAATGGCAGACACTGAGTCATCCTCTGCTCCCCAAACCCTCCGTCTTATTGGTCTCTTAGTGCTTTTTCTGTCACCTCTTCAGTACCTTCATAGAGCTCTCAGGGTGGGGGTAGACCTCATGGCCTGGCACCTCTAGATGTGTCCCTTGCCCGTCCCTTGAGCTTTCTCCCTCATCCCCCCTGCAGCCCACTGCTCACTGTGCTTGGCGGGCGACTGCCCGGTGCTGGCCTCTGCTTTGTGGCATGTGGTGCTCAGCCAGGATTGCCTTGCCTCTGGTGCAGGGGACAACATGTGGAAACACTGCCTGTCACCGTGGGAGAGGGTGGGGCAAGGCTGGACGAGCGAGTGGAGGACAGAGATGTCACCAACCACCGGAAGTGCACAGTACAGCACCCCCACCGTGAAGCGGTACTGTCCCCAGTGTCTGGTCTCAGGATGAGAAACCCCGCTTAGCCGGGTGTGCTGTTTCTCTGTACTTGTATTTCTGTTTTTCTCACTATATCAGAGGCCTTACCTTGTTTTTGTATCCCTAAATCTTGATGTAAGGCCTGCTGGGAGTTCAGTGAGTATTGGAAGAGAAAGGAGGAGAGGAAGCAGTTGGGATAAACTCAGGAGAAGAGCAGCCAGCCTGCCGCCCGGGGCTGCTCAGTGATTGTTCCCGCGAGGCCTTTCATGCATGAAGCATGTCACCTGTTTTGAGGATATGCTTATCTGTTTTTTCTTGCTTGTTCAGCAAACAGTTGAGTCATTTAAAAATATAGTACTTGGGGCCGGTGCTATGGCGTAGTAGGTAAAGCCACTGCCTGTAGTTCTGGCATCCCATGTGGGTGCTGGTTTGAATCCTGGCTGCTCCACTCTCTGCTCTGATCCAGCTCTCTGCTGTGGCCTGGGAGAGCAGTAGGAGACGGCTCAAGTCCTTGGGCCCTGCACCAGCATGGGAAGCTGGCAGGAAGCTCCTGGCTCCTGGCTTCAGATCGACGCAGCTCCAACCATTGCAGCCATCTGGAGAGTGAACCAGTGACTGGAAGACTTGTCTCTCTCTCTGCCTCTCTGTAACTCTGCCTTTCAAATAAATAAATAAATCTTTTTTAAAAAAATACTGATATTTTGTTTATTCAGCATCACTTTAGGCTCTTTTACTTATTATCTTGGCCATTTGTTATTGAAAAAGTGTTAGACTTCAGAAAAACAAATGAAATACAGCATCTCTAACTTAAAGGGATTCAACCTAAACTTTTTTTTTTTTTTTTTTTTTTTTTGACAGAGTGGACAGTGAGAGAGAGAGACAGAGAGAAAGGTCTTCCTTTGCCGTTGGTTCACCCTCCAATGGCCGGCGCACCGCGCCGATCTGAAGGCAGGAACCAGGTACTTATCCTGGTTTCCTATGTGGGTGCAGGGCCCAAGCACTTGGGCCATCCTCCACTGCACTCCCTGGCCACAGCAGAAAGCTGGCCTGGAAGAAGGGCAACCGGGACAGAATCCGGCACCCTGATCAAGACTAGAACCTGGTGTGCCGGCGCCACAAGGTGGAGGATTAGCCTGTTGAGCCATGGTGCCAGCCCTTCATTTGTTTTTTAAGGTGGAGTTAGGGAGAAAGGCTGAGAGAGAGAAGTCTTCCACCCATTGGTTCACTCTCCATACAGCCTCATTGGCTGGGGCTGGGCCAGACTGAAACCAGGAGTGAGGCGCTGCTTCCAGGTCTCCCACATGGGTGCAGGGGCCCAAGCACTTGGGCCATTAGCTGCTGCTTTACCAGGTGCGTTATCAGGGAGTTGGATCAGAAGTAGAACATCCAGGACTTAAACCGGTATCCATGTGGGATGCCAGCACTGCAGGTGGCGGCTTCACCAGCTGCACCGCCGTGTCAGCCATATATATATTTAAAGATTTTATTTATTTTATCTGATAGGTAGATTTACAGACAGTGAGAGGGAGGTATATAGAGAGATCTTCCTTCTGTTGGTTCATTCCTCCATTGACCACAATGGATGGAGTTGAGCCAATCCAAAGCCAGGAGCTTCTTCCGAGTCTCCCACATGAGTGCAGGGGCCCAAGGACATGGACCATCTTCTACTTTCCCAGGCCATAGCAGCTGAATTGGAAGTGGAGCAGCTGGGACTAGAACTGGGACCTATATGGGATGCTGGCGCCGCAGGCAGAGGATTAACCCGTGCCCTGGCACCGGCCCTGGCCCTATATTTTTCAACTTTATGATGGGTGAACGTGATACGGGTTCATGGGAACTGTACTTGGAATTTTGACCTTGGAGGTTTCCTGGCTAGCACCCTTGCTCTGGGCTCTGAGCGTGTTGAGTGCTGGTGGTGAGTGTGAAGGGATGAGGCCAGCATTGCTCTGGTCTGAGCTAGAGTATATAGTGGGCTAGGCATATTAACTGCATTTTGGGCTTACAGTATTTTCAGTTTATGTTGGGTTTGTGGGGACATAACCTCATTGCAAGTTGAGGGTTACCTGTAATCCCATTCTTACCAGAGGTTGTTCAAAACTCTGCAGGTCATAATGACATCAGCAAATAAGACAGTTGAATTACAACTACAAGTGAAACAAAATGCAGAAGAGTTACAGGACTTTATGAGGGATTTAGAGAACTGGGAAAAAGACATTAAACAAAAGGATTTGGAACTAAGGAGACAAAATGGTGTTCCTGAAGAGGTAAGTTCAGAATTCCGTATTTAGCATCCTGAAAAACAGCTTGTTTTAAAGTAAGCATAACCTGTTAGCAGTGTTCTATGAAAATGCTGAAATCGAAGGGATTTGTTTCATTGTCAGCATCTCCAGAATTCTACTTTTGCATTAGCCTTTGTGATAATTGTGCTGACTGTGAAGGAGTTTTTGGATTCAGTGAATAATTACTGAAAGAATGGCTTTGTGATCATATTAAAGGTAATTGGACACCATCAAATACGTAGGGCGTGTGGCTGTGTGTATACTTACACAATGGTGCTTCAAAAAGTTCAGGGGAAAATGAGATTAAAGGATCAGTTTTTTTTATGGTACAAAACAATTTCAGAATCCATTCATAGATTTTCTATAACATGCATTTTTCATGAACTTTTTGAAGACCCTTTTTTACACATGAATTTCACATTTGTTTTACAATAAATACGCTTATCTTTTAGTTCCATTTTTCACAACCATTTTAAAATCCTGAATTAGAAAAGCAACCTTTTTGCCTTTCAAAATGCTTCTCTGTTGGAAAGAGAGCTAGTGTGCACACACACTCCCATCCCTGCAGCAGCTGGAATGGCCCCAGGCCTGAAGTTGAGTGTCCCGGTGCAGAGCCTCATCCCTGCCGCCTCTCTCCTGGTGTCCGTGTGGGCAGGAGGCTGCAGTCAGGTGTGACTGCTCCATTGGCGATTTGGGCCTCTTACCTGCTGGGTAAACCCTGCCAGACTGAGGTTTTGTGTTGATGGTGTGGGGATCCATTTGCTTTGTGCTCCTACTTCCTCGTATGAAGGTTGAAGACTAGGTAGTTGGTTTTTGCTTTTTTTTTTTTTTAAAGATTTATTTATTTATTTGAAAGAGTTACACAGAGAAGGAGAGACAGAGAGAGAGGTCTTTCATCTGCTGGTTCACTCCCCAAATGACGGCAGTGGCCAGAGCTGATCTGATCTGAAGCCAGGATTCAGGAGCTTATTCTGGGTCTCCCGTGTGGGTGCAGGGGCCCAAGGACTTGGGCCATCCTCTACTGCTTTCCCAGACCATAGCAGAGGGCTGGATCAAAAGTGGAGCGGCCAGGTATTGAACCGTCCCCCATATGGGATGCCAGCACTGCAGGTGGTGGCTTTACCTGCTATGCCACAGTGCTGGCCCCGACTAGGTAGTTTTTGAGGTTTGAATTTAGAATTGCAAATTAAAGTATAATTTAAATTTCCAGATAATATTTTGCTTGTGAGTAATCAATGTTCAACATTTTTTCTTTTTCATTATTTATTTTAAAGATAGTTACTGAGAGAGGGAGAGATCTTCCATCCTTTGGTTCACTTCCCAAATAGCCACAGTGCCTGGGGCTGGGCCATGTGTGTCTCCCACATGGGTGCAGGGGCCCAAGTACTTGGCCCATTTTCCACTGCTTTCCCAAGAGCATTAGCGGGGAGCTGGATGGGAAATTTAGTGGCTGGTACTGGAACCAGCACAACACCGGCTTAACCTGTTGCACCACAATACCTGCCCCCTCTTCAACATTTTTCAACTATAATTACCATTATAAATGGAAGATGGCAAATTGATATTTTTAAGCATTTGCAAATTAGGTTTAAAAATGGCTTCTTCCTTAGAAATATGAATTGGTGAGAATTTTAAACATTGCTACTTAGACAAAAAATAATAGAGCAAAGTGCTGAAAACTGCATGCTTTTTTTCCTAGATTTTGCCTCCTATTCGAAATGGAAGTTTTAGGAAAAAGAAGAAAGGGAAAGCTAAAGAGGCTTCCAAAAAAACCAAAGAGGAAAACACGAAAAACAGGATCAAATCTTATGATTATGAGGCATGGGCAAAACTCGATGTGGTAAGTTGACCCGGGCACTTTGCTGCTTAGCATTTGAATAGGAATTCCTTGGAGTTATGGAAAACAGTGCAGCGTTTTTGTGGCTTCTGTCTCATACACTATTTCCTGTGGGATAAAATGTAATCACATGGCTCTTTAGTTAGCCACAGGAATTCCTCTTGCAGTGAGTGGCGGCTGAAGCAGTCAGGGTTGTTTTCTGTTTTTCCGGTTTTGTCTCTCTTTGCAGAAGTAGTACCTGAAGGCAGTGTCATCTTCACCTAGTCTCCTTCAGTGGGTCCATCTTACTACTAGTACAGTTAAGACTGGGACAGTGTGTAGCAGGGCCCATCCGTTCTGTCACATGTGTGCACCTGGGTCACCACCACTGCAGTTAGGGACAGACGAGGACTCTGCTCAGAGAGCTCCCTCCTGTGTGACCCTAACTGCAGAGTACAGCGACTCTGCTGAGGGAGTGTGTGGGTATCCGTCCTGGGGCTGGGCTGTGTGGTCGTGAAAACAGGCCTGTCTCAGCCCCAGGATGTTCTAGACCATGCTCCATGGGGCCCTGTCTATCAGCTGTGAGAGGAAACCTGTGGCCCCCGCATTCCATCCTGTGTTGCGCTTTAAGGGTTGGCTTGGTGTGGGGCGGCAGTGCCATCGCGATGGCCTGCATTTCACTGTGTCTTTCAGGATGCAGGTGTTTACTTACCACTCCTCTCCAGTCAGATCTGGGCTGCGGCCTGTAATTTTCCACATAGCATGGTTGGCTGATCTTGAATGTGGTGAAGGGAGGCTGATGGTGTTTTCAGGATCTTCATGCTGAGACACATAATTAAATTTCAGTTCCTGTTTTAGTATTAATTAATATTCAGTGAAAGTAAGCTTAAGTTTTGTTTTGTAATTTCCTAAAAGTTTTGCTTACGTAAATAACAAAACAGATGTAAATTTTGCTTATGTAATGATTAAAGTATGTGACTACATGAGCTTTAATGAACTTTAGAGCTAACTGATTAAAAATGTCTTACTGCTGTTTGGAGTAATGGTGATGCCAGGTACTCTGATGTGGCTGTTACGCACTGTGTACATGTACTGAAATGTCACAGCGTACTCATACATATGTGTGCTTACTATGTGTCCATAAAAAGTAGAATTATTTATTGATTTTTAAAGATTATTTATTTGAAAGTTGGAGTTACACAGAGAGGAGAGGCAGAGAGAGAGAGAGAAGTCTTCCATCTGCTGGTTCACTCCCCAGTTGGCTGCAACGGCCAGAGCTACGCCGATCTGGAGCCAGGAGCTTCTTTTGGGTTTCCGAAGCGGGTGCAGGGGCCCAAGGGCTTGGGCCATCTTCTACTGCTTTCCCAGGCCACAGCAGAGAGCTGGATTGGAAGTGGAGCAGCTGGGACTCGAACCAGCGCCCATATGGGATGCCAGCACTGCAGGTGGTAGCTTTACTGCTATGGCACAGTGCTGGCCCCGGTAGAAGTATTTACAAAATCTTACTGAAAAGCATTTTTTAAAATTTATGTATTTGACAGGCAGAGTGACAGAGGGGTGGGAGGGTGGAGATCTTCTGTCTCTGAAGGTCCAGGTTGAAAGCAGGAGCCCAGAGCTCGCTCTTGGTCTCCCATGTCAGTGGCAGGGATCCAAGCACTGGGGCCGTTAGCAGGGAAGTGGATGGAAGGAGATCAGCCGGGACTCAAACCAGTGCCCTGATATGGGCATAGATAGGGCATATCTGGGCTTAACCTCTGTGCCACAATGCTATTCTGAAAAGCTTTCTTTTTACACATATGGCCAAATTAGGATTTTAGACACTGATGGGTTCTATGAGTTATTGATGACCACGAAACTCTTACGGGGAAATGATGGTGAAGAACATATTATTACTTTGTTCTTTGTCTCACATGGAAGAATTTCTATGTGGACAAGCAGAGATTTAAAGGTGAGATTTGTTAGAGTTAGAGACCTCCAGCCAGGGTAGCATGGAGGAGGGCTTCCAAGCCAGGAAAAACCTGAAGGGGTCCTTGGCACTAGGTTTTCTTTTTCCTTCCTTCCTTCCTTCCTTCCTTCCTTCCTTCCTTCCTTCCTTCCTTCTTTCCTTCCTTCCTTCCTTCCTTCCTTTCTTTCTTTCTTTCTTTCTTTCTTTCTTTCTTTCTTTCTTTCTTTCTTTTTCTTTCTTTCTTTCTCTCTCTCTCTCTCTTTCTCTCTTTCTCCTTTTCTCTCTTTCTTTCTTCCTTCTTTCTTTCCTTCTTTCTTTCCTTCTTTCTTTCCTTCTTTCTTTCCTTCCTTCTTTCCTTCCTTCTTTCCTTCCTTCCTTCTTTCCTTCCTTCCTTCTTTCCTTCTTTCTTTCTTTCTTTCCTTCTTTCTTTCCTTCTTTCTTTCTTTCCTTCTTCCTTCCTTCCTTCGTCCTTCGATCCTTCCATACTGCCTGAGTTAGATCCTTGCTACGTGCTTCCTTCGTACTTCCGTACCAGGCATCAATGCGTGAAA